AGCAGTACCTCCAGCAGCACCGCCAGTAGCAGCTGCACCTCCAGCACCAGGGTCCGTAGCACCCACAGCAGCTCCAACGCCCGGGTCCTCAGTACTAGCAGCACCTCCAGCAGCACCGCCAGCAGCAGCAGCACCTCCAGCAGCACCGCCAGCAGCAGCAGCACCTCCAGCACCAGGGTCCGTAGTACTCGCAGCAGCGTCAACTCCGGGGACCCCAGCACCAGCAGCTCCACTACGGAGACTGATGTGCCGAGCGTACCACTCTCGAAGCTGAGGGGAAGAGGGCGGCTCCCGCCGTGGTGGGGAAGCAAGAGTACCAACTCCAGCAGTACCACGAGCCCGAGACTCACTCCGCCGGAGGCTGCAGTACCGTGAGTACCACTCACGCAGCTGCTGCGAAGAGGGAGGTCCTCCAGGCGCCTCACAGTCAACTGCAACACCACCAGGCTCAGCACCCCCAGGCTCAGCAACTCCAGGCGCAGTACCCCTAGACTCAGCAACGCCAGGCTCAGTACCCCCAAACCCAGTACCTCCAGGCTCAGCACCCCCAGGATCAGCACCCCCAGACTCAGCACCCCCAGGCTCCGCCCGCTCAGGCTCCGCACGCTCAGGCTCCGCACGCTCAGGCTCAGCACATCTAGCAGGACGCGAGTCGACAGCTACCTCGGCAGGCTCAACCGGGTCTACCTGAGAGACACCTGAGGGAGCGGCACCCTGAGGGGGAAGGGGGTCTACCACTGCAGCACCTGGCGCGAGGAAGAGAGGCGGGGGAGGGAGCGAGGCAGTGCGGTAGGGGAAGAGGCGGTAGAAGGGCACGGACTCGTCAAAAGTGACGTCCTGAGAGGGGAAGACTCGGTGCGAGGCGGGGTGGTAAAACTGCCAGCCAGACGCATCCGGGACAAAGCCAAGAAAGACACAGGGAGCAGTGCGGGAGGAGAGCTTGTCCGCAGACGTGTCGCGAACAAAAGCTCGGGATCCCGAGACACGGAAGCGTGACGCATCGCCAACCTCCCCCGTCCACAGCAGTGTGGGCGAGGTCTCCGGAGCGGAGACACGGGGCCAGAGGTTGAGCTGATGCGCAGCGTACCGGACCGCAAACGGCCACAGAAAGTGGGGGGCAGCCGCGTGGACTAAGGAGGTACGAGCGACCTCCATGACCAAGCCAATGCGGCGCTCAGCAACCCCATTCTGCTGTGGAGAGGCCGGGAGCGTGAACGACTGGCGAATGCCATGCTCGGCACAGTAGGCTGCCAAGAGGTCGGAGGAGAACTCGCCACCTCTGTCAGAGTGCAAGCGCAGAACAGGAAACTCCGAGCGAAAACGCTCTCGCAGCTGAAGACGTGCTCTGCTGATCCAGGGGATCAGAACATCAGGGACTTCACCCTTGGTGCGCAAGGGGAAGACCGTGGTGTAGCGCGAGTAGTCGTCAACGACGATCAAGAAGTACCTCTCCTGGCTCTGACCACGGACGCGGGCTGGGCCCCACACGTCCATGTGGAGCGTCTGCAAAGGAGCAGTCGTCGGGGGGAACGAGGAGGAGTGAGGGGCAGCGCGCTGCCGCCCCTCGACACAGGGAAGACAAGGAGGAGCAAGGGAGGGTGGGAGGGGAGGGAGTACCCGAGGAAGACCAGAGACAAGGTACCGGGCGTGCATGCCCCGAAGGCGCTGCACTGACGGGTGACCAAGTCGGTGGTGCCAGAGGACAGTCTTGTGCGTTAGAGAGCGACACGAGCAGGGGGCAGAGAGCTGACCTGACGCAGACGCAGACGCAGACGCAGACGCCGCTACCTGAGGGGACTCAGTGGTCAGTGTGTACAGGTCCGACCCCGGCTGCCGAGTGAAGGTAGCCAGGTGACGGCCCGTCCGAGCACACGTGCAGTGTGTCACACGCTCGTAGGCAGGGGTGAACTGGTGAACACCCCCATCCTGAAGCGCACAACCCGCCACCAAGTTCGTAGAGAACGAGGGGAGGTGGAGACCTGACAGTGTGCCCGACGGGACAGCAGGGCAAGGAAGGAGGGTGGAGGAGGTCGCAATGACCGGACCCCCAGAGGGGTCAGCGAGCGAGACAGCAACTGGTCGAGCAAGGGGCTCAAGGGCAGTGCGGTCACGAAAGAAACAGCGCGAAGCGCGTGAGTCTAGAGTAAAGGTGTGCAGTGCCTCAGTGGACTCAGTAGCACCTGAGGTGGCAGACACACACGCACCTAGAGCAGTAGCCTCACCAGTACCTGGGGCAGCAGTCACGCAAGCACCTAGGGCGGCAGCCTCACTCGTGCGGATGCCTGGGTCAGGCGGAACACTCAGGTACTGGTCCTCCTCTCCACTAATAGTCAATGCATACATTGCTTTGAGAATAACATCAAAATCAAGAGCATAGATATCAATATCCTTCTTGAGGAGATCAGCCCACTGAGGGAGCTCAGGAGCGTCAGGAAACTGAGCACGCCAAGCGTCATCTAGGCGAGAGAAGCAGCGCTGCGAAGTGTTCGCCCTCCCGCACGTCTGTCCCTTGCGGCGACCAGTGCGGATGACGTACGTGCAGCTAAGGCTACCCCCCCCACCCCCGTGCTGTAAGTACCACTCACGAAGCTCCTGGGAGGACTGAGGGTGCTGCGCGCTCTGGCCAGTGCCAGAGCCTCCACGACCACCACCGCCGCCTCCACCACGACCACCACCGCCCCTGCCGCCGCCACGTCCACTGCCGCCACCACCACCGCCCCCACCGCGGCCACCGCCACCGCCGCTGCCTCCACCACCCCCACCGCTGCCACTAGCCCCTCCAGCCCCGCCACCGCCCCCGCCGCTGCCACCACTCCCACCACCGCCTCCCCCGCCGTCACCCCCACCGCCCTTGCCTCCCCTGCCCTTGCCGCTGCGGCGCCCGCTGGGAGCGGACGCAGAGCCGACCTGCTCAGCACCAAGAAGGTCGACAGCAGCAGCAGAGGCGACAGAGGGGAGGAGGGGGGAGGGGGAACACCCCTAGAAGAAAGGGGTGCGGGGGTCGCCACGAGAGGCACCTACAGCTACAATACTCTTCTCAGCTGCAAGTAGTTCCTTCTCTAGGGCGGCAATGGTGAGCTCAGTGGGACAGCGAGCTAGGAAGTGGTCCCTGACTGTACGCAGAGTGTCAGGGAGGCGGGTGACTAGGTGGTAGAGAGTGAGCCAGAGCGGGGGAGGGTTGGATGCAAGAAACTCAGCGGGCATGGCTGCACGGAAGCGGGCATCACTAGTACGGAGGTGAGTGATGAGGTCAGCGACTGTCTGGAAAGCGGACAGGTCGGGGAACAGGTAGGGAAGGGAGAGACGGCCTAGTGCAGCTGAGGCCGGGGAGGAGTAGCGCGCAACTACAGCAGTGTACAGGGCCTGCGCAGTCTGATTCTGGCCGAAGTGCTCACGCTCATTGACTGGCAGGGAGTTGCGAATGGCAAAGCGGGCGTGGGCATCGCGAGTCTGCCACTGCGAGCGAGCAGTAGCGGTAGCAGTAGTAGCAGGAGCAGGGACTGTGCCTAGTGCGTGATCGTACAGCGAGATATCCTCTCTGGCAGTGAGCTGGAGGAGCAGGTGCAGATCATCGAGCCAGGTCTCAAACTTAATCGGGCGGCCCTCAGTATCGAACGAGAGAACTGTAGGGCTAGCCATAGCTGAAGCAGTAGCAGTGGCAGCAGTAGTAGTAGCAGGAGTAGCAGTAGCAGCAGTGGTAGAAGCAGTAGGGCGGCGCGGCTCGGCTAGGGCGGCGCGGCTCGGCTAGGGCGGCGCGGCTCGGCTAGGGCGGCGCGGCTCGGTCGGGTCGCGCGGCTCGGTCGGGTCGCGCGGTTCGGCTCGGTCCTAGAGGGGCGAGCGCGAGGCCGGGTAGGGCGAGGGCGAGGCCGGTTGGGGGGCCGTTCGGGGCTAGCGCGGGGCCGTTCGGGGGCCGTGAGAGGCTAGCGCGGGGCCGACGGGGGCCTTAGGGGGCTAGCGCGGGGCCGAGGGGGGCCGTGAGAGGCTAGCGCGGGGGCCGCACGGGGCCATTCAGGGCTAGCGCGGGGCCGTTCGGGGGCCGTGAGAGGCTAGCGTGGGGCCGACGGGGGCCTTAGGGGGCTAGCGCGGGGCTAGCGCGGGGCCGACGGGGGCCTTAGGGGGCTAGCGCGGGGCCTGAGGGGGCCGTGAGAGGCTAGCTTGGGGCCGATCAGGGGCCGTGAGAGGCTAGCGCGGGGCCTTAAGGGGCCTTAAGAGGGCGACGCGAGGGGCCGTGAGGGGCCTTAAGGGGCGACGCGAGAGGGCCTTAGGGGGCCTTAAGAACGAGGCGCTCGAGGCGCAGGAAAAGGCGGCGCACGAGGGCGCGGCTAGCGGAAACGGTGGGCCCTATCGTTTCGGTCCTAGGTGAAACCTAGGCTCGTAATACCATGTCAGAATGAGAAACGAGAATGTGGTGACTAGCAGGAACAACAGTACAAATATGTCAAACCCTAATCTGGTGTACCCCTTATGGTGTGACCCACTACAGCCTAGAACCACACAAACATATAAATGTTTGACATATAGCTGATGCATATTATGTAGGCTACAGTGGGGTAGCCCATAAGGGGTACAACCCAATTAGGGTTAGTACTTGTGCTCAGTTCATTCATAGTCCATTCATTCACGTCCTAATTCTGAGATGGTATCGAGCAGGTTCCCTCGTGGGAACTGTTCCTAGGGCCCACCTTTCGATTTTTTTTTTTCTTTCTTTCTACCCGGAGCGCACTCCGCTTCTCCCCGAGTCGCGCTCCCCTCTCTCGGCCCTTAGTGGCTCCGTCGCGTCTCCCTAGCGGCCCCGTCGCGTCGCCCTAGCGGCCTCGTCGCGCCGCCCTCGCGGCTTCGTCGCGCCGCCCTCGCGGCCTCGTCGCGCCGCCCTCGCGACCTCGTCGCCCCACCCTCGCGGCCCTGACGCCGAGCCTACCGGCTCCTGCAGCCGCCCAAGGCCCCGCCACCTACCTGTGCGACCCCCGCCACCTACTTGTGCGGCCCCCGCCACCTACCTAATGGCCCTGCCACCTACCCGTGGCCCCGCCACCTACCTGTGCGGCCCCCGCCACCTACCTGTGCGGCCCCCCGCCACCTACCTGTGCGGCCCCCGCCACCTACCTGTGCGGCCCCCCGCCACCTACCTGACGGCCCCGCCGCCCACCCGTGGCCCCGCCACCTACCTGTGCGGCCCCCGCCACCTCCCTGATGGCCCTGCCACCTACCTTTGCGGCCCCCGCTCCTACTTGCGGCCCCGCCACCCACCTTCGGCCCGCCGCCTACCCCTGCGGCCCCGCCGAGCCGCCCAGAAGCGGCGCCGCCTAGCAGCCGAGCCGCCCAGCAGCCGAGCCGCCGAGCCACCGCGTCGCCCAGCAGCAGAGCCACCGAGCAGCCGCGCCACCCAGCAACCGAGCCGCCCAGCCGCTGAGCCGCCCAACAGCCGAGCCGCCCAGCCGCCGATCCGCCTAGCAGCCGAGCCGCCCAGTCGCCGGGCCGCCCGGCAGCCGAGCCGCCAAGCCGCCCAGCTGCCGAGCCGCCGAGTCGCTCTGCAGCCGAACCGCCCGAGCCGCCCTGTTCGGTAAGAGCAGCGCCTTTTTTCTCACAGCACTGCCCTCACCCCACTGTCTGCGCTGCTAGTCTACTTCTGTCATGGCTACCCCCAGTGTCCTCGCTTTTGACGCTGAGGGTCGGGCCATTGACTTTGACGTCTGGATAGATGACCTGCAGCTTTTCTTACAGTGCGATGATAGGGTAGACGGCCTCTCTCTCTTTGACCTCACTTCTGGTGCCTCTCCTGCCCCTGCTGCCGATGCTGACGCCACTGTTTGCTCATAGTGGGCCACGCGCGATGCTGCTGCACGTCTTGCTGTGCGTCGCCACCTGCCTACCTCTGAGCGTGCGCACTTTAGCCAGTACAAGAGTGCTCAGACCTTGTACGACACTGTAGTTGCACGCTACTCCTCCCCTGCCACTGCTGCACTGAGCCACTTCATGCTACCGTACCTCTTCCCTGACCTTGCTGCCTTTGCCACAGTCGCTGACCTCATTACACACCTCCGCACTAGTGACACTCGCTACCGCGCTGCGCTTCCTGCTGACTTCTGCGCCAAGAACCCCCCCCCCATGTACATCACCCTCTACTACACAGTCACCCGCCTCCCTGACTCCCTTCGCGTAGTCAGGGACCACTTCCTCTCAGTTTGCCCCACCACTCTCACTGTTGACCTCCTCGAGAAGGCTGTGAGAGTACGTCGGCTTATGCCAGCCATGCATGCTTGCTTTTACTTTATTACGCTATTACTAGCTTAGGTTTATTTTATGTATGCATGAATTGCTTGATTTCCTAGGCTAGGTGCTTTCCTATATTTTATTATAGTTATAGCACCGAGCTAGGTTGCGTGCACCGGATTCTGGCTTTTCGGTTGCCACCGAATTGCCTTCTACCGAATTCGGGAAGGATCTGTTCGGGACGCTTCGTGACCCGCGGAACCTTCGCGTAACACCTGGTTACGGGGCCTTGTGTCGAGCCTATATATAGCCTCGTGTTGTACCCAGGTGATCATTCAATTCACATTCTCTTTTCTGAGCTCGATCCTAGATCCTCACAAAGGCCCTCCTAGCAGCAGAAAAGAGCATTCTAGCTGTAGGAGCCTCTCGTGGAGACCCTCGCACCCCCATCTTTGAGGGGTGTTCCCCCTCCCCTCTTTTGCCCTCCGTTGCCTCTGCTGCTGCGGCCGAACTCGTTGGTTTGGAGTCGGTCGGTGCGGCGTCTACCCCTAGTGGGAGACGTCGCTCTGGCAGAGGCAAGGGGGGCAGGGGCGTTGGAGGAGCTAGCGGGGGCGGTGGAGGCGGAGGTGGAGGCAGCGGAGGGGGTGGGGGTGGTGGTGGGAGTGGTGTCGGGGGCGGAGGTGTCAGTGGCGGCAGTGGAGGTGGAGGCGGCGGCGGCGGTGGCGGTGGGATTGGAGGTGGTGGAGGTGGCGGAGGTGGTGGAGGCGGTGGTAGAGGAGGAGGAGGAGAAGGAGGAGGAGGAGGTCGTGGCTCTTCGTAGAGGAGTGGCTCCGGTGGCGGTCAGCGCCAGCAGCAGCAGCGCAGTCGGGAGACCCCCTCCCCTCAGCAGCTCCGTGAGTGGTACGCTGCACGCCAGCGGGGTGGGGGTACTGGTCCGTGCACCTACGTCCCGCGCACTGGCGACCGTGCGTGTGAGGAGTGTGGGGGTGCGCACCCCACCCAGCGCTGCTTTGGCCGCCTGACGGACGCTTGGCGTCACCAGTTCCCTAAGGCCACTGAGATCTCTCGCTGGGGCGAGCTGTCTAGAGCAGGGGTAGCTGTCTTTGACCTTGACTTTGATGCTATTCTTGCTGCCTTGTATGCTGTGACTATTAGTGATGAGGGTGACTGTTACCGGTGTTTCCCGCCCGACCTGGGCATTGGGACTGCTGCTCTAGGTACTGGTGAGGCTGCTGCTCTAGGTGCTGGTGAGACTGCTGCTCTAGGTGCCAGTGAGTTTGCTTCCTCAGGTGCTGGTGAGTCTGCTCTCTCAGGTACCGCGTTGGCTCCGGCCTCCCACACCTTCGCACTTGACTTGGGGGCGTCTCTCTCCTTCTTTCGAGACCGCACCACACTCACGCCGCTTAGTCGGCCAGTTGCGGTCTCCCTGGCAGACCCCTCTGGGGGTCCTGTCCTTGCTCACTTCTCCACTGTCCTCCCGTGTCCGGCGGCCCCCTCTGGCACCCTGTCTAGTCTTTACCTCCCCTCGTTCTCTACGAACTTGGTGAGGGGTGCTGCCCTACAGGATGCGGGGGTTCACCAGTTCACTCCTGCACGTCAGCGCGTGACCCACTGCACGGACGAGCGCACAGGCCGACACCTGGCCACGTTCACACGTCGGCCGGGGTCGAGCCTGTACACACTGACCACTGCGTCTCCTCCAGTCCTTGCGTCTGGTCAGGTAGCTGCGTCGGATCAGGTGTTCGCTGCAGCGTCCAGGTATGGTCCTGAGTCTGCCCCCTGCTCGTGTCGCCGCCTGTCTCACGAGACTCTCCTCTGGCACCACCACCTTGGTCACCCCTCCTTGCTTCGTCTCCGAAGCATGACCTCCCGTGTCCTTGTCTCTGGTCTTCCCCGGTCCCTCCCTCCCCTTCCTCCGGGGCCTGGCCCTACCTGCGTCCCCTGTGTCGAGGGAAGGCAGAGGGCTACCCCCCACTCCTCCCAGTTTCCTCCGACAGAGGCTCCGCTGCAGACGCTTCACATGGACGTGTGGGGCCCAGCCCGCGTCCGTGGACAGGGTCACGAGCGCTACTTCTTGCTGGTGGTTGACGACTACTCGCGTTACACCAGAGTCTTCCCCTTGCGCAACAAGGGTGAGGTCACTCAGGTGTTGATCTACTGGATCCGCGCAGCCCGTCTCCAGCTCAGGCGGAGCTTCGGCTCGGACTTTCCTGTTCTGCGTCTGCACAAAGACAGAGGCGGAGAGTTCTCCTCTGGCCTTCTGCAAGCCTACAGTCGTGCACAAGGCATCCGCCAGACCTTCACGCTTCCGGACTCTCCACAGAAAAATGGGATTGCAGAGCGCCGCATTGGCATGGTCATGGACGTCGCCCGTACGTCCATGATGCATGCGGCTGCCCCCCATTTTCTGTGGCCGTTTGCGGTTCGGTACGCGGCGCATCAGATCAACCTTCAGCCCAGGGTCTCCATGCCGGAGACCTCCCCAGCTTTGCTGTGGACGGGGAAGGTTGGCAATGCGTCTGCGTTCCGTGTCTGGGGATCTCGGGCGTTTGTCCGCGACTTGTCTTCGGACAAGCTGTCCCCTCGTGCCGCTCCTTGCGTCTTCCTGGGTTTCCCCCCTGATGCACCTGGGTGGCAGTTCTACCACCCCACCTCTCGCCGTGTTTTGTCCTCCCAGGACGCCACGTTTGACGAGTCGGTCCCCTACTATCGTCTCTTCCCCTACCGCACTCCGTCCCTCCCCCCGCCACCGCTCTTCCTTGTCCCTGGTTCCCCCCCGGTAGACCCCCTCCCCCCTCAGGGTCCTGTCCCTTAAGGTGTGTCCCAGGTAGACGCTGTTGAGCCTGCCGAGGTCACTGGAGACTCTGGTGCTGCTGATGTTGCTGAGCCTGAAAGTGCTGACTCTGGGGGTGCTGAGCTTGTGGGTGCTACGCGTGGGGGTGCTGGGCCTAAGGGTACTACGCCTAGGAGTGCTGAGCCTGGGGGTGCTGAGTCTGGGGTTGCTGAGCCTGGGGGTGCTACGCCTGGGGGTGCTGAGCCTGGGGGTGCTGAGCCTGGGGGTGCTACGCGTGGAGGTGCTGAGCCTGGGGGTGCTGAGCCTGGGGGTGCTGAGCCTGGGGGTGCTGGGCCTGGGGGTGCTACGCCTGGGGGTGCTGAGCCTGCTGGTGCTGTGCCTGACGGTTCTCCGGGTCCTTCTTCTCGCCGGGAGCCGCTCTCTCCACAGGAGCTGCGTGAGTGGTTTTCCCGGCGCTGGAGGCGAGCTGCTGGAGCTGGAGGTGCTGCAGGTACTGGAGGTTCTGTTGCTGCTGAGGGAGCTGGTGCAATGGGTCCCGGAGGTGCTCGTACTGGGAGTACTGGAGCTTTCGGACCTGCGGGTACTTCTGGATCTGGAGCTGCTACGGGTGTTGGCGCGGAGGCTACTGCTGTCGGTCCTGGAGGCGGTCCTGCTGGGGGTACTACTGGTGCTGCTGGAGGTACTGGAGTTGGAGCTGCTACTAGTGCTGGTGCTGCCTCTAGGGGTGCTGGTGCTGTCCTTGCTGTGTCTGGAGTCGCCACGCGTACTTCGTTCCGCTCCTTCAGCAGGTTCTTGGTCTTCTGTCTACCGCTGGTCCTTCTCCTCCCTTAGAGTGTCCACAGCCTGTCGCGTCGCAGTTACAGTTACAGCCCGCCTCCCCACTGCCTGCTCCGTCTCCCTCACTGGTCCTACTGGAGGTCTTGCTGAGCGTCGTGAGCCTGCGTCTCGTCCCACGTCGCCTGTCTGTGCTGCTCGCACTAGTAGTCGCGGTTCGCGTCAGCGTCCTCCTCCTGTCCCTGGCACGCACCGGATGTCTTTGTGTCCGTCCACTGCCCCTCTGCGTGCCCCTTTGCCTTCTCCTCCTGAGTCTTCTCTTCCTGCTCTTGCCGATCCGGAGTCGGACTCTCTCCGTGCTGCCAGTCCTACTGTCACGCGTCTCCTTGCGACTGCTGTCACTAACCCTTCCTTTGAGTCCGCTGTTGCGTCTGCCTTAGTTGCTGAGCTGGTCGACTTTGCTGCCGCGTGTCGTCTAGACTACGTCGCGAGTCTTGTTGCTGAGTCTGAGTCTGCCTGTCCTCCGTCCGTCGGGGGTGAGTGTGCTCTTAGCACGGACGTCCTTGAGGACAGTCGGGAGGAGTTTGAGTGCTTTGCCGCCGCTTTGCCTCATCTCGTGTCCATGCTTGTTGCCCCTGAGGGAGACCCGGATGCTCTAGACATCCCGACCCCACGCACTTACGCAGAGGCGATGGCCGGTCCCTACTCCTCTCAGTGGCAGACAGCCATGGATGCAGAGATGGCTTCCTGGAAGTCCACAGGCACCTACGTCGACGAGGTTCCCCCACCTGGTGCAAACATCGTCAGTGGCATGTGGATTTTCAGGGTGAAACGGCCGCCGGGGTCTCCGCCTGTCTTCAAGACGCGTTACGTGGCTCGTGGCTTCAGTCAGCGGCAGGGAGTTGACTTCTTCCAGACCTTCTCCCCGACCCCGAAGATGACCACTCTTCGGGTTCTGCTGCACGTCACCGCTCAGCGTGACTACGAGCTCCACTCTCTTGACTTCAACACTGCTTTACTACAGGGCAGCCTGCACGAG